TAAACCAAACTCATGGAAAAAGAAGAAGCAATTCCAACACCATCATCATTAACATCATTGTGGAGAACGTAGAAAATGCTTGGCGCAATCACTTGAAAACACTAAAAAAGCCTTCTTGCTTTTCTTCTACTACTCCCCCCTTCAATGTTGATGATAGAAAAACACAGGACTCTTTTTATCTCTTGGCCGGGCCGTGGGCCCCCACAAATAGTCACCTTTCTTCTACTCAAGTCCTTGTCTCATAAATTCCTCAACTCCCCATTTTCGATCTGAGCATTTTCCTTAGTTGCAAGCCTGAAAAGTGAAAAAAAGGAAGCTTTTTTTTTTTTTTCTCCCTTCTGCTTTTGTTCCCTAATTCTTCATAATATACTCTGTTTTCCTTTTGTTTGGGCTTTTAGAGAGATTTTCTTGAAAGTTTTGGAAGGAACTAGAAAAAGAAGCTTTCTTGAAATCTGTCTTTTCTTTTTGTTTAATTTTGGTACAGAAATTACAACAGCTGCTTTTGTTTGCTCTTTTCTTCTTCTTAATTTGTGTGTTCCGTGCTAAAAGTGTCTAAAATTTTGGTAAATTTCAGGTATGTTTTGTGTACATTAGTTAATCGGCGAGCAATTGTTTTGTTTGGTTAGGGGAAAAAAAATGCTGTCCCAAAAGCCGCAAATTTTCTCTGCTTTTCTTTTGCTGAATGTTGTAACATGTCTGCACGTTGTAAAAATTGACTCTTTAAGCCCCGACGGCCTCTCCCTTCTCTCCCTGAAGTCCGCCGTGGACTCCTCCGCCGCCGCCTTCCCCGACTGGAATGAGAACGACCCGTCGCCCTGCGGCTGGTCCGGGGTTTCGTGTATGAACATATCCGGCTCGAGCGACGAGCGTGTCGTCGGGATAGCCATCGCCGGCAGGAATCTCCAGGGGTATATCCCGTCGGAGCTCGGCAGCTTGGTCTATCTCCGGCGGCTGAATTTACACGGAAACAATTTCCACGGCTCGATTCCCGATCAACTGTTCAACGCGTCCTCACTGCACAGCATTTTCCTATACGGTAACAATCTCTCCGGTCCTCTACCTCCCTCTCTCTGCACCCTCCCCCGCCTGCAAAACGTCGACGTTTCAAGCAATTCCCTCTCGGGCCCACTCCCCAAGACCCTCAGCAACTGCAGGCAGCTTCAGCGGCTGAATCTCGCCAGAAACAAGTTTTCCGGCGAGATTCCTGCCGGTATTTTCCCCGAGCTCGCCAATTTGCAGCACCTCGACTTGTCATCCAACGATTTCAACGGCTCGATTCCAGGCGACATGGGCGAGCTAAAGTCACTAACAGACACTCTGAATCTCTCCTTTAATCACTTCTCCGGGCAAATACCGAAAACTCTAGGCGAGTTGCCACTCACCGTGAGTTTCGACCTTCGGAACAACAATTTGAGCGGCGAGATTCCCCAAACGGGCTCTTTCGCCAACCAGGGCCCGACTGCTTTCCAGAACAACGACGGTTTATGTGGTTTTCCGGTACAAAAGTCCTGCAAGAGCATCACCAACAGTCCAACCGGGTCTCAAGATTCCGGGCCAGGGCCCAACATGAATTCCAGCCCGCGTAAGGGGCTGAAACCTAGCTTGATCATACTTATATCCATAGCCGATGCTTTAGGAGTGGCTTTTATAGGATTGGTAATCGTTTACATTTACTGGAAACGCAAGGACTCGAATGGGTGCAGCTGTACTGGAAAAGGGAAGCTCGGTGGGAATGAAAAATCGGGCCTTTGCGCTTTTCCTTGCATGAATGGATTTCCGAGTAATGACTCGGAAATGGAATCTGAAAAGGGCGCGGGTTGTGGCAGAACTAGCGGTGGCACGAGTGGTGGGGAGGGTGATTTGGTGGCGATCGATAAAGGGTTCAGTTTCGAGCTGGACGAGCTTTTGAGGGCCTCGGCTTACGTGCTGGGAAAAAGCGGTTTGGGGATAGTTTATAAGGTTGTGCTTGGAAATGGAGTTCCTGTGGCGGTAAGAAGGTTGGGAGAAGGCGGAGAACAGAGGTATAAGGAGTTTGTGGATGAGGTTCAGGCGATTGGGAAGATAAAGCACCCGAATGTTGTGAAGCTGAGGGCGTACTATTGGGCCCCTGACGAGAAGCTTCTTATAAGTGACTTCATTTCCAACGGTAGCTTGGCTTCTGCTCTACGCGGTGAGTTTCACTTTTCTTCTTCTTGTTGTTATTATTATTATTCTTTTTATTGCGGTTTTTTGAGATTTGATGCTATGTTGAATCTGTTTGGTTGGTTAATTTTGTGCTTAAAGTTGTCGACTTTTTTGTGGTAAGGGCTAAAACAATGAACTTTGATGACTATTGTATATACTTACCTTTCTGAATAAGTGAGCAACTGTAGTGGAACTAAATCGGATGACGATGGTGTTTGCTGATAGATATGGGAATTACATTGAAAAAAGAGAGAACTTTTGGTAAATGAATGGTGAAAGTTCTGATTTGTTAGTAAAACTCATACGTACTAGATTAACTTTTTCCTTGTACTGACCGGGAATCGGTTGTGCGGAGTTCACATTCGTGTGTAAATAATCTCTTTTTTTGCGCTTTTTCGTTTAGTTTTTCGTTGGAAAATGCAAGTTGAAGGAAAAGAAAGATGAGAGGGTAAAGGTTCATTTGTTTTGCTAATGATTTTGTTGGTTGGTGATTATTAATTGTGTTTACTGACATTTCAGACAGTACTACCTTAATATCACAACCTCACCTAATGATTTTTGTACCTTAATCAGTCACATGATTATTAGTCAATCAAATTTTTGTACCATAACTTCCTATCACTGTTAACTGGAAAAAAAAGAAAAAAAAAAAATGACGATGAACAAATTTTGATCTTCTAACTCCCCGTAAAACACGATTAGCAAAAGTTCGTTTTGTTCTACATAAGAGAGCTGCTAAGTTTTCTTCAGGAAAGTGCTTGCAAAAATAGACATAAAATGATAAGTGAGTTTTCTGAATCACAGGCAAGCCCAACCAGCCCGTATCCACCCTGTCATGGTCGGCCCGACTCAGAATCGCCAAAGGCACGGCCCGCGGGATAGCTTACCTTCACGAATGCAGCCCGCGAAAATTTGTCCATGGCAACATAAAACCCTCCAACATTCTCCTCGACAGCGATCTGCAGCCCCACATTTCCGATTTTGGCCTCAGCCGACTCATCACCATCACCGGAAACAACCCTTCTTCCTCCGGAGGCTTCATTGGTGGGGCCCTCCCTTACCTCAACCCGGCCCAGCCCGAAAGGCCCAACAGCTACCGGGCACCCGAGGCCCGCGGGCCCAATGGGCGCCCGACTCAGAAATGGGATGTCTACTCATTTGGGGTTGTTTTGTTGGAGCTGCTGACCGGGAAGTCTCCCGAGCTTTCGCCACCGACGAGCTCGAGCTCGAGCTCGACCGAGATTCCCGATCTCGTGAGGTGGGTGAGGAGAGGCTTTGATGAGGAGAGCCCGCTTTCGGAAATGGTGGACCCCATCTTGCTGCAAGAAGTGCACGCTAAGAAGGAGGTTTTAGCGGCGTTTCATGTAGCGATTGCTTGCACGGAGGTGGACCCGGAGGCTCGACCGAGGATGAAAATGGTGTCGGAAAATCTCGACAAGATTGGAAGTTGATGGAAGAATTTGGGATCTTTTTTTTTTTTCAAAGTGTTCTTTCTATTCTTGGAGTAAAAGTTCATAGTTTTACAGCTTTGATTTTTCATTTTGGAGTTGGGGTTGAGGTTGAGGAGTGTGTTTTAGCTATATATGGATTGGTGGTGTAATTTATCTTGTGATTTGTTTATGCTTTTGGTATGGAGAGGCATTTGAAATTTAACTTGTGTTTTTGTGTTGCCTGAGACAATAAAGAGTAGGTTTTGTTTTTTTAGTCCATTGAGTTGAGTGAGTTTAGTTAGAGTTCATTGTTTGCTGTAAGAAGTTTTGACATAGCTCAAAAGGATGGATGATATTAGCTTTAGTGTGATCTATAAAACAAATAGAGCAAATAGTCATAATATATATATCCATACAAACCAATAAAGAATAACTATTTTTTTTTTTCCAAACATATACCTTTATAATTATAAACAACAATTTAGGTTAGATAAATATACATTTTTTGTATATATTTGTGTTGAATCGATATTCTCCAAAAACAACACAAATAGAAGTATAAAGTTTCATAGAAAAAATATATATTTATATTTACAACAAAAGGGTATATCCGGACACATTTGTTTGAGATGTTTTTAATTATGTATTCTAATATCTATTTTGGGACACTTATTATAAATTTGAGAGCAAAATAAAAATAAAAATATACTTCTTCTTATTTTTAATAAATGTCGTTTTGAAAAGTGGTACAATAATTAAGAATTTTTTTTTTGTCAATAATAACCCTACCTTATATTAATGTTTTGAGAAAAGATGGAGAGTGAATATATTTATTAGTTAGATGAAAGTAATGATGCTAAAACAATATTTATTTAACAAATGATCAATTAAATTAGGATGAAAAATAATAAAAATAGGAGGGAGTATAAAATAAACATAAGATTGACCGAAAAATCTCAACCCTAAATTTCCATCATAATTTTGAGGAAGAGAAAGAGTCGAAACATAATTTCATCCAAATTTCACCCTAAATCTCAACCAAAGTCTCCATCATCTTAAAAATCTGTCGCGGAGCCTTCAAACTCAAGCCGAAACAATTGTCTACCGCGTCCAATTGCTTGATTGCAAACAATCCAATTCTGGGTCGCGAAGGTCGAGAGGTCGGGCGACGGTAAACTACAACTTTTGAATTCTGCGAGCAACCACCGGGCGACGGAAACGACCATTTCGACGGTGCTGGACACTTTCAATTATTGAACTTTTTAGGTATGCTGGGCTTTCACTCTCAACTACGTGAATTCTGTGAAATACAAGTTAATCATGTGTTTAACCGGTCCTCTTATTCTCTGTCAGAATTTCAGGTGTGTAGCGGGGTTTTTCTCAGGGGAACTTGTTGCCGGTGTTCAGGTAAAATATTCCCCATTTTTTGTTTGAAAATCGATTATCTTGTTTAGTTTCTGGGTCAATTTTTGACGATTTTAAATAGTTGATGCACGACCTTGTACAATACTCCAACAAACCTTACATCGGGCTGAGATTTGATTTCCGTAAGTCATATTGATGATGTTGTTATTAATTTTCACTTATCAGTCTATTGTATGCATGGCCAAATCATTTGACCTGGTACGCATATAAGTAATGCCTTATTTGCGTATAAGTAATCAATATGCTGAAACCCAAATTATTTGTTTTACAAAGAAGGAATCAATTTGCATATAAGTAATACCTTATTTTTGACCTGGTATGCAGTGTAATCTATATGCTGAAACCCAAATTATTTGTTCGGCTTAATCTGAACATTTGATACTATTAAAGGTTACAAGAAATGACATCTGTCTGACATAGCTTTGTATCTGTTGTGATTAAGATCTTGATAGTTATCATTAGGCGTTCAGTAATATTTGGTTCACATTATTAACTTAATAGATTTTGCTGGATTCCTAGTGTTTTGTAGTTTTACTTGCTTCCTGGATTTCAAATTCTGAGCTAATGAACTGTCGAAACCTGAATTTTTAGTTCTGCTTAATCTGAAAAATGGATAATATTAAAGGTTACAACAAATAAAATCTGTCGGACATAGCTTTTTATCTGTTTATCTTTAGGCGTGCAGTAAATTAAGATCTGGACACTCAGAATTCTTACAGTAAAGTTTCCTGATTCTTACAGAAAGTTTTATTATAGAAACTCAGAATTCAGCTTGCTTAGTACTTCAAATTATTTTGCATCCTGAAAGAATCATAAACCTTTCCATCTCGGCTCCTTTTGTACTCGAACAAAAAGTTTGAATGATCAAATGCAGTTAGTTTCACAAAACCATAATCGGAATCTCTGAAAATACTCTAGTTGGGCTTTAGAGTCGAGAATTTTGAGAGGCTAGCACCTCCTCCTCCGGCAACTACGTGTATTGTCCCGTTCAAGCTGCCTTTGTAATAGTTCTTCTCTTCTCTTGTACATTTATTCTGCAGCAAGATAAATATTTTTTGGATAAAATGATTCTTTATTCAAATTCAAAAGAAGAAACTGTCACATAATTCATATGAAGCTGCTTGTGAAATAGTTATTTGGTTGGCAGAAATACACATTATCTGCGGTTTACTTAGAAAAAAAAGAATGATTAGAGGATGAATTATTTGCTTCTTTTTACAACTTTTTCTTCTGTACAGCAAGAACTTGGTCTCTCACTTTTTCACATAATAATTTCCAGATATGCAAGAACTACCTCTAGCTGTCTTAACGAGTCATATTTTCTTTTAAAAACCGAAAAACCACGTGGTTAAACTAGCTGGACACGTAGGATATCCATGAAGGAAATTGAGATTGAGCTAAATTTTCAACACCAGATTACGGGTTTAATGGACATTTAAGATCTAATTTCATGCATTAATCTGCTAATCTTCCGTTTTTGATTCCTGGCCCAATCAATCCAAAACTCCAATTTTAGTATTAATGATGTACATTCATCTACACAATAAAACAAATAATCTCTGAAGCTTAGATTTTTTTGCTTAGCTGGGCATGGATAAACATCTAATGTTAATTTACTCATTTCTTAGAAATTTTTTTAAGTTGGCTATGTTTAGTTTTAGGCTTTGGAAAAAATGTGAAAACACAGGATGCTGTTCATATCAATGTGCTAGTACCCCATGTTGTCATTCACATTTTTTTCAGGGTTCTGTTTAACATTTTTATTTATTTATTGATTTTATTTTTATTTTTTATTCCTTCCTTTTTTTTTTAATTCGTATACATTGACTTGTGTTGATTAACCATGTATGCGCTGACATAAATCTTTAATTTGTCTAGAAGTTTAAGTTATAAATTATATACTGTTTGACCTTCTATCACTGAGGATTAACTGCTGTCCAGAAGCCTTTCAGCAAATTAGAATCTATAATTAGAGTTAACCTAAAGCATCCCCTCATGCTTTTTACCATTAAACAACAAATAATCTAGTAAAAATTACAAAATAACAAATCATCTAATGAAAAATATTTATTATAGTTCTGAGAAAAAATATATATATTTCAAATATTTTAAAGGATATTTGTGAGTTGGAAAAATATTAGTATTTTTTCTTAGAACCGATGATTGTATATTAATAAGTTTTTTTATTCTATGCTCCTCTCTCATCCTCCTAAAATCGGTCTATGCCCCTTTCGTCGTCTTCTTTCAGCTGAGACTCGTGGCCACCCGACACCGACCTTCGAAATTCGAATCTTCGCCATAATTATCGCCCACCTCAAAAGCTCCAGCAAGTCGGCTTTGACACGCGCCGTAATTTCACTGTCCTCCTCGTGGGAATATCTCCCGCCGTGTATTAGCACAACGTGTGGTGGCCTTCTTGTTAGCGCTACAAGAAACTTAGCCTCTCCGGTGCCGTCGATTTACTTTGCTCCAGGCACAGAAAGCGGTTATTCTCCATGAGTAATGTAAGTTTTCACATTTCGTAGTGTTATTGAAAGAAACCATGCCGTTTTCTTGGTTTTGTGTGAAACCCAAAATCAGAATTGTTCGAGTTAGGGTTTTTGATTCACATCACTTGATGGAAGAAGTTCCTCTCGTCTGGAAAGTTTGAGTCTTTGTTGGTTTCTGATGAATGGTTATTCAATTTCTTTTTGACAATAGGAGCTTTGTTTGAGATTATATTGCTAATAGCAAGGCATGGATGTCAAGTGGTCCATGATAGTTGAGAGTTATTTACACTTACCAAAATGTTTTTTTAATTAGGATTGTCTAATTTTATCGTTGTTTCTTTGATTTCAGAAATCTGGAGACGGCGTGCCCTTTGATCCAGATAGATTGAAAGACACCTTGGAACCTGAAGATTCCGGCGTTGGAGGTTTGCTTGTGCCGGAGAAGGATAGAGTAGTGTTTAGACCTCAGAGGAAATCAGTTTTAGGTATGATTTCATGTATTATTCATGGGTTCAACCCATTAACACTCGTTCAGGTCAAAGTATCTTGTATGGTATCTAGATAGTTCTTGAAATTCGAAGTATATGCTAGCTGGTCCACATATCATACAGATAGTCCAATAAACTAGAAAAGCTTATCAAGTCAGGATAGTAGCTCGTGGTTTCTTGTTTTTTCCCCCTCTGCGGTAGCCTTGTCTAATCGACTTCATGAGAATTTTAGAATGTAATTACCGTTAGAAGACCTCATGACCCAATATTTTTTATTCTTAGACATTTATTTTTTAATTTTTTTAACCTAGTCATGTAATAGGGACATTTCATGTAGTTGGGTATCCTTCCTGTGTTTCTATGCCATTTTATTTCATGTTACAAGAACATAGCGGTTCACATTCAACTTCTTAGTTCTAAATTTCTATTATTGGACAGGATTGGACATTCTTGCTAATGCAAAACGTTTGGAGGCAAAGGTTGATGGTTCCTTTAAGGTTCCGAAGGATAGAGTTTCATCCATTGCAGCATCTCTTGGTGAAGACGAGGAGAAGTCTTCGTTGGGAATTGATGAAGTAGACACTGACACATCGAAAACCCTACGCAACAATACTAATAGGAGATATCGTGAACTAGCTTCAAATTCAGGTACTATATCATTTCGTAGTATAGCAACAGTTAACTAACACAGACTTAGTCTAGTGAAAAATAAAATAAAAATCCCTTGGCTATTCTTGAATCATAAATTAGCAACTCTTTGTATATATGTGTTTGCTCTTGATGATGAACTGAAAGTGAAAACCAAGTCCTTTTGCTAGACTTGTCAAAACGGGCTCAGGCCTGTGGGCCACCCCGCCCCGTCGAAAGGGTGGGCCGGGTTGAGATTCTAGAGGCCCGCTGGGGAGCGGGCCGCGGGCTGGCCCACTGTTTTTATTTTTAAAATTAATAATAGTACATTAAATTGATTGATTTGGCCCACTCAACTTGATACAACTCATGAACCCAACTGGGCTTGGCTCCCAAATCTGATTCAAAACAAATTGATACAACCACAAGGCCCAAACATTCCATACCTCTTCTTAATAATTAATCTCTCTTTCCCACCACATTCCCAAAATTCCAAATCGCAAAATTCAACAAAAGAAGAAACCCTACCCAAAAAATTAA